ATAGTTTTTCACTTTGAGACATAATTTTTTTCTTATTTTAATTTTTTTTTTTAATATGGAAGTGTAGCATGGCTCTACATTTATTTTCTTCACACATTTGTTTTTAAAAATTGTGATTTTTAAACTGTGAAAATATGTTATAATTTAATAAGCCTTAAGAAGGGCATGTGGCGTAAAAACTCTGCCAAGTCTGTGAACAAGTCACTATGATTTGCTGCTGTGATTAGATCAAAGAAACATTACTACATAACTGTTTTAAAAGAAAACATATATACAATTCTATTCAACATTTTATCCAGTGGCTGTTTTAGCTAAAACAAGCTAAAAAAAAAGCATGCAAAATGAGTTTTAGGCATGAAACCATCTATTTTTAGATTTATTTTAAACTTATACAATTGATAATTATGTTAAAGAGACTGATAAATGTATTGTGACGCCTTTACAGGGGTTTCTAGGTTGATATTGAGTTTATTTATTTTTTTATCAATTATTAGAGAATGATAGACAAAGGCCTATTTTATGAAACGAAGTTAAGGTATTAAATTGTGATTTACTGAATGTCCTGGTCTATTTAAACCTCAAATTGTTTTCATAAATGCTGTAACACTTAAGTAACCCCATACGGGTACACAACCATGCATACACTGATACCTAAGAACAATTTTTAGAGAAGCCAATTAACCTAACAGTCATGTTTTGCATTCTGGGAGGAAGCCGGAGTACCCACGCATGCACCGGGAGAATATCCAAACTCCAAGCAGAAAAACCCTGTGCCTAAAATCAAACCCAGAACCTTCTTCTTGCAAAGCAACAGTGCTACCCACTGTGCCACCGTGCAGCCCCCTCCTTTCATTATCTAATTTCTTATTGCTCCTTTAAGCCTAATACATGTACTATTTTGTGAACTGCATGTATTTTAGTCAATGATTCTCTTGTTTCGTCAAAGGTTTTATTTGCTTAGAAACTAGATTTTTCCTTATTTTCTGGGAACCACACCTGACACTTGGATTATGGGTATGTTGACATGGTTAGCTTAATTTTCTGAACTGCTGCCATGCATTAAAAAGCCGTAACGAGTGACAAATGCTGCTTTGTGCCATTTAACAAAAGGAGCAAACTTGAAATAGAGGTAAAGTCAGCTCTGTATATAGTGAGCAAATTGACATCCAGTGATCCTCAGATTCACAGAAAGAAACAATGCTCCATTTAAACATGTGTTTACTTTTTATGGAACTCTACCTGAGGCTATTGAACTGAGTTCTACACCACTGGCTTCATTTTGAGACAGAGATCTTAGAGTTCTTTGTACATAACAAGCAAATTACTTCTCAGCCAAACACGTTGAAGCCAATTTGTCAGCTTCTTTCCAACAAACCGATTGTACAGAAATAAATTCTGACATAAACAGGGAACAAAAGAAAAGGGGAATTAATCTGAATACTCAGACTTGCACAGTTTTCCTCTAACATGCTATTTGAAGGGTAAAAAAGTTTACAATATGAAACACATGTGAGGTCTTTCCATTGCACTTTTACAGTATTTCCTAGGCACAGTATACCAGTATACCACAGAATATTGATAATCAAATAGTAATCCTTAGAAATATTCTTTAATAGTTTTATTATTTTTGTAGTGTTTCCCTTCTAATAGACTTGCTTAGTTTCTGTTGAATACTATATGATATGTCTCATCAACAATAAAAAAGTTTAAAAAAGACAATTTATAGATTCAGTTTTCATAATTAGATTGAGTTCAGGATTTGGTATTTTTGCCTGTTATATTACTCATGTCAAGCCTTGTGTCAAACGGTTACATAACTATAATTATTTTCAGTTTAGAATTTTACATTATGTTTATACTTGGGCAATATGGGATTCTTTTTGTAGATATTTGTATATTTTCTTGCTTCAAGCAACCAAACGTAAACAGTGTGTATTAAGAAATTAGAAAAGCTGTTCAAATGCCAGGTCATTGCAGTGTAAAAAATATGTACAAATAACAATGGCACAAAAAAAAACTTCAGAACATTTTTCATCTTTAATGTGACCTAAAACCTGTGCAATCAAAATACAAACTGACACCTTTAAAATAGAAGATATCAAATAGAAACTTAAATAACATGGTCACATAAATGTGCACACCTTTAAATAAAATACTCAGTTGCAGGCAGAATCTTTCTGTTTTACTACAGCACTACAGTTTTTGGATAGTAGCCTATCAGTGTGGCACATCTTAAAGTGGTGTTTGCCCACCTCTCTATGGAAAAACTCTCCAAATCAGACAGATTGTAAGGGCATCTTCTGTACACAGCCTTCTTCAAATCACCCCTCAGATGTTTGACGGAATTCAGGTCTCTTGCTGTGCTGTTCAAAAGCCTCAATTTTATTCCGTTGTGTTGTGCTAAAGGATGAAGTTATTTTTCCATCTTCAGCTTTCTAACAGAAGGACAAGGTTTTGTGCTAACACTGACTAGTATTTGGAACTGTTCTTTCTCTGACTAAGGCCCCACTTCCAGCTGATGTAACAGACCCAAAACATTATACTGCCACCACCATGCTTCACTGTCGGTATGGTGTGAGTATGTTCTTTTGGTGATAAGCAGTGCTGTATTTTTCCTAAACATAACTTGTGTAATGTCCAAAAGATTCAACCAGAGTTTTATCAGACCATAACACATTTCCCCACGTGTTTGGGAGCTGTCAGGTGTCTTTTTGCAGAATTAAGCTGGGCTTACATGTTTTTCTTTGCAAGATAAAGCTTCCAACTTGTCATCCTACCCCATAGCCTAGACGTATGAAGATGACAGTAGACTGTTCTCACATGTTGTACAGCCAGTACTTCCCATAAATCCCTACAGCTCCTTCACTGTGGCTGTCGACCTCTTGGCAACTTCCATTACTGGTTTACCTCTCATCTATGTTCCATGGTGTTAGGTTTATTCTTTATTAGTCATGTGTATTACTTATCTGTTGGCCAGGTTAGATGGTGGGGACAGCCTTCCTTTACATGGTGTATCACATTGTGTGCGCAGGGGCCATCTAATGAAGACAGTATTTTTGTCTGTACAACAAACGCTGGATAATGATACATCCTAGAGCCAGACTGATAAAGGAGAGCTAACTGTAATCCTGAGGCGTAGAGGCAAGAGGCACAAAGGTCAGGGCATGGATGTCATGTCAGTTTCTGACACGAACAGCTAAGCATCCACCTGATGCAACACATAGACTTATGAGGTATAAGAAGCAGGAGATGACCTTGTTCGGGGCTCATTTTCCGGATGCCATCACATGCTAACGACCTGAGCCCACAGCTGTACGGACTCCAAGCAATTTCTTTGTCCTGTAACAATCTGAATTGGAATAAACTCTATTAATTTTTACTCCTGTTTTTAGTCATTTTTATATAGTTTTACCAAGTTTAAAGTTAATAACAAATTAAACTAAGTAGCTTGCTCCCAGGAAAAGAACCAGAAGGGAAGTTCCGAGGTGTAATCCCCTTTAGGGTGACAATGGTATATATATATATATATATATATATATATATATATATATATATATATATATATATATATATATATATATATATATATATATATTTTTTTTTTTTTTTTTTTTTTTACAGAATCCTGTCCGGCAATGTGGCAATAACAATAATTATCTTGATGCCAAAAAGTAAGCCCAACAGATTTTGTTTTCACAAGTGGAGCAGTATGCTATCACCATCGTGATTTATGCATATAGATAGGTTTATTATAATAATGCAGGGAATATTACAGATTTGATGGACACTTCAATGTAAGTAGAACAGGAAAGGAAAAACAGAAAAAAAGGAAAATATGAAAAAAAGAAGAGATAAAGGGGAAATAACGATAAATCATCTTCAGTCTGCCTCATCACCTGCAAAGAGATGTAAAAAGAACAGCACAACCAACGGATATAGTATAAGAGATACAATAAAGTAACACCTTGATACTATCGCTTTAAGACAAATCAAAAGTAATTTCAGGATTACTGCTGAGATCAGTCCTGAATATAATTAGTTACACTATATCTGTAAATTACTACTGTAACATTGTCAACAAATTTGTGTTTTTAACTATGCCAAAGGTAAATAAACTCAAAATGAAAAACAGCAACTATATAGAAAAATCACTGATTTACTTTAATACATAATTAATAGCTTTCATTCGAACTAGTAAAATGTTGTTGCTGGCATAAATAAAATAGGTATAATAATAATAATAAAAAACACTAAAGCAAAAAAAATTATTAAACAGTTACAAAAATGTCTCAGTATAAGTAGAAAATATAGTAGAACTTTAAATTACACTTCAAAGGTAGGTACTGTATGTATAAGGTGTTAAGCCATTATGTTTTAAAATATGAAGAGAGGGTTGCAAGAGACAAAAATACAACCAGTGATATTTCTGGTTTACAGCAATACTACAGAATTTGATCCCTGATGTCACTTTGATCTAAGCTGGGGCAAACAGAGGATTATCCTGTGAAACTGGGACAGAGATCAGCTGTGAATCTATTATTCCAGGTTTACTCTCCACCATCACCATTGGTGCAGCAGCTCAAAAGTTCTAGCTTTACTTTTTTTATGCTTTCATTCATATAGATTCTACATGTTAATCAGAAGCCTTTTCAAAATACATTACTCTTTGTTAAATGAGAATGAACTAAGTTCTTTGTCAGCATTCAAACCAGATAGCAATAAATTGGAATTTAAACAAGATCTTATACATTTTGTTTCAAGCCTTACATTTTGAATTTCATTACTTGCAATATATCGTGTGAAACTACTATATATCTAATTGTAAAAACAGAGATGTTTTTCATTGGCTCCACAAAGCTACTCAGATGCTCTTGCAGTTTTGTGTAGTTTACCTGAAGAGATTAATGATTGATACAGTTACTTTATAGTGCTGTACCCTTTTTAATCCTCCTAAAATAAAATCCAAGTTGATTCCTTCTCTTCTGTTTTATATTTTTCAGGATTACTACTACAGCTGCTTGTATGATGGACCTACGGAGGTATCCTCTGGATGAGCAAAACTGCACACTTGAGATAGAGAGTTGTAAGTATGTATTTACTATTTTTCAAATTAGTGATGGTATTGAAGTGATGGATGTATACCAAATATAAGTATACACTTTAGATTTTACTCACTATATAGTACCACTTTACACAACTGTATATTTAGATTTAAATTACATATTATTTAGCTAACAAAATTTGACCAGATTTTATAAAAGATATCTGAGAAGATTCTCTGTCATCCAGAGAATCTTCTCTGCTATCGTCAAGCTTAAAAAGTTCAGTTTAGGCAACACATTAAGAGGTGAAACAAGACATTTCGCCTCTTATCGAAGAGGCTTCCTCAGTTCTAACTGATGATGGAGAGCACTGAGATTACTGTACTGTAGATGTAACAAAGAATTTTGGGAAAAACAAAAGGTGGCTCTGATTCCTCTTACTGGATTAACCCAGTAGAGGGGATCAGAGCCCAATTCAAGCTCAAACATTTATTTTTGTATCTACTGCACATTATAAAAGAATGCTTTAATTATTCAAATTTTTGTGGGACATTGATGTGAAACATTTAAAGTAATGCATTGTCTAAGTTTAAAAAAAAAATCTTAAAATGTTGTAAATTATTGATTTTATTTCTAACAAAAATAGATTAAGACTTATGAGAAAAGCTGAGTCATTTGATATGGAACTTAACCTAGATTCAGTTATTTTCCCTTTGCACTCATGCAAAAGGGAAGATAACCCACATTCAGTTATTTCCCTTTCTCCCTAATGAGCAGGGCAATAAAGAATTTGATGAGTGAATAGGCCCTAAGAGCTACTGCTATAACGTATTTAGTAATTTGCTGGGAACATGCAGATGTCTTTGCTGACTTTATTGTTTATGGTCATGAGAGGAATGCGCTTGCTAAATTCCATTGTACTGGATACTCATGCAGTATTGGATACCTTAATACACTAAAATTGGGCTCATCATTTTCCATGATATGAAGGACACATTAACAACTCTACCAAGGTCTTAGATCCAAGTCAACTAGAAACTATTTCAGTTTTCATTATTGTACCTTTATTATCACATAGAATTCCTCATTTTGTTTTCATCTATTCAAAAGTTGGTGCTTGAAAACTGAGTATCTTACAAACCAATGGGACAAAGCTGACAGCGCAGAAGTAGCTCATATTTATTGCCTTACCATGTTACCTACCAAGCACAGGCCAACCTGAAACGTAACTGAGCTGTGTTCCTAGAAACCAACCGCCCTTATGTGGTTCATACTGTGCTTTCATTGTGTATTTGTCGTCAAGTATATCAAGACTGATTAAACTAGTAAAATGTGTAATTTTAAAGTCAACATTGTAATTATGAGACCAAAGAATGCCTTTGCCAGGAAGGACTATATTGGGAACATCAGAGGGAGCTCAGCTAACCTAATGATAAATTCAGCATTCATTTCACATATAGAAACAACTAAAGGGTAACATACTTAACCTTGCAAATTGGCTGGAGGGCCTGCAGCTGAGCCTGCTGTACAAAGAGCATTAGTAGAGCGTTAAGGAAAAACACAAGGTTCTTGAGTTTTTGTTAACCAAAGATCACAACCCAGGAAATTAAAAATCATAAGGTTTAATAAACTTTTTATTTTAAGAATATGCAAAAAGGTAACAAGTCTTACAAAGGTAGTACTATAGTATGTTTTTAGAAGATTAAAAATCTTTTTTTTTTTTACTGTTAAAACCTTTAAGTGCTTTTACAAACAAATTCTATTCTCACATCCGGGAGCACTAGATAACCCTTTGCACATTTTTTTCCACCTCCTCTCTTCAAAAGTCCCATATAATGCAGAATTTAGATTAAATACTTTTTCTAATAATCATATGTGTCCTCAACGGTACGTATGATGTTCACAAAATGAAAAATGAAAATGCCTCTCTTCCCCTCTTCCCCATCTAACTAATGTGTGCTAAAAATGCTGTGTGAAAAAGATTTCCCCTTATGACATCATAAGGGGAAATAAGCTGTTCATAGCTGGTTGTAGCAGCCAATCAGTCAAGCTACGGCCTTTATCTAATATGTTATTCATTGCTACTAGATGTTAATATTATGAACTCTGACTGGTTTCCATGTTTGCGGGTTATTGGGGCGTTCGTTTGGCAGGTAAAGGCGTGGAAAGCCAAAAAACCTCATCCAGCGGAGGGCTGAATAAGGGTATTTTCGGTTCATGCTGTCTGCCTAATCTTGGAGAAATGTTCCTGTAAAAATGACAAGAAATGTTATGTGGGCTACATTGTTAATATCTATATATTTTCAAATGTGGCATAATATGGAACCTTTAATCGATTATCGATTTTAGAGAGAAATAAAAGGTTTAAGGTCCATGGTAAATTTACTTTGTACCAGAAAACAATTGCCTATTAAATTTGAATTCCCCGTGCTAGTGTGCAGCTTAGATGCACTTGAAACTATTTGTTTGAACAAACCACATTTTTAAACCATGGCCCTCAAGGCACACTGCCCTACATATTTTTTTTTTCATGTTTCACTGCTTTGATATACCTCATTCCATTGATTGCAGTTCAGTGAAAGCCTGTTAGTCAGCAGTTAGTTAAAATCAGGTTTGCTGAGTCCAGGAAACATCTTAAACATGTAGAGCAGTGTATCCTTAGGGCAGGATTAAAAAACACTGCCTGTTAGTAAGCAGCAGCGAGGGCATGCGCAAATATGTACTGCAGTAGCTCCTTGCCATGTGAGGGGTGGGAAATGCTAAAAAGTTTTGGTGGGTTTTAAGAAGGGTTGCAACAATTATTCAATAATCAATGACACTAATGTTGAAAAAAATAGTCATTTTCATTGTTAAAAGTGTCATCTAAAAACAGTGTAAATGATGCAGCATCTCCTAATAATAATTTCCATGACAGTTTATATCACATACAGTTTACTAAGGTACAGTAGCTGCAGAAGTCAGTATAGCATCAGTTCCCCACTGAGCAATAAGCCACCTATCATGTGATCTGCCGTGGCTGCAAGCAACAATGCTGAACTCAAAGTATCAAAGGTTAAGAAAGCTGTAATAACTTCTTCTATCTTCGACATAGCCGTCAGCTAAGTGTGTGATTAAGCTTCTCATCACTAGAGAGGCTGCCTTCCAATAGAGATAGTGCAGGTCAACAATGAGTTGGAGTTAAAGACTTATAATTCAGTCAGATGTAATGTTACTGTTGATGTTTAACTTGTTTAACCTGTTCAAACTTGTTTAACGTGTTTCATGTGTTACAGGGGATAAATGGTTTAGAGTAAAGTAAAGCTACATAACTGAATAGTTCTCTAACTTAATGGTCTAACTGGAGCAATGGAGGGTAGATTTGGACATGAATTAAATAGAACAAGCCTCCCGAAAGAGAACAAGCCACACTGCAAAACATGTTGATACACTAACACTTGTATGCTGCCGTTTAAAAACCTTGTAAATATGAGGCATTGTTTAAAAAGTTAGAAAGATTTTATCTTTAAAAAATGTAGGATCTTCATTTGATGTTTCTACAGCATCTTCAATTGATTCCTCCATATTCAGACACATAGTGATTACCAGTTTGTTGCATACAGTACTCCAAACGCAAATTTAATTAACACACTCGGGAACACATTAGAGTCAGTTTGGGAGGAACATTTAGAACAAAATAAGGTCATCCTATTTCAGTAGAGGTGATGAACAGAGGGTTGCTGGAATGTCCTGACATTTTTGAATGTGTTGTCCTATGGTAATATGTAAAAACTAGAAATGTAATGATACATTTAGCTAATGAGAAAATATAATTTACAATTTTGGGATTGTAGCATCTGGATAATGCTCTGCGAGATTGGCTTCTCTTTGAGGAATATTATTGTGAAGTTTTAATATCCAACATAGTACAAACAAAACTCCACATTTTCAGTTTTAATTCCGCATTAATCTTCTATCATTTGTCCTCTTATTTGTCTAGGATTTGGTGGTAACCTTTCAATTTCTCCAACAGTCAATTTGGCAAAATAATTTGTAATCTAGGACAAAACATAAAAATACATGAGCTTTAGTTTTTATTTTACTGTACATCAATTGAAAGGTATCACATAAATGTACACGTTGTTCAATATAAAGTTTAAACAACTATGCAAAGACACACTCATTCACACTGGAAATTGAATGTAGCCAATCTACCTAATATATTTTTAGACTGTGGGAAAAAGCCAGAATACCCAGGCTTACCCAGACCTTGCTGCCTTTGATATACTGTCATAGTATGCATTTATAGCCAAAAAGAATATAGTTTGTAGTTTATTACAACCTGGAACGACTCACACAGATACAATAACAGCTTTGTCAAATGTAACTGAGTCATGTAGGGAAGGGATTCCAAAAATTCCAACTATTAGGCATGGGCTGCACAAAGGATGTCTTAATGGAAGAATTGCAGGACATAATTGCTGAAAGGAAACCATGAGAAAGTCCTTTCTGCAGTTTGCTAGAAGCCATGTTGTGATGCAGCAAACATATGGAAGAGAGTGCTTTGATTAGATAAGATCAAGATTAAACTTTTTGGCCAAAAAATGAAACACAACATGTAGTGGTAAACTAACACTGCACATCACTCTGAACACAGCATGCCCACTGTGAAATAAGGTGGTGCCAGAATAATACTCTGGGGATACTTCAGCAGAGACAGGGAAGATGGTCAGGGCTAATGGGAAGATGGATGGAGCCAAATGCACTGTTATCTGGAAGAAAACGGATTTGGAGTCTGCTAAAGACTTGAAACTGGGGCCACCTTCCAATAGGACACCTTCTAGGAGGACAACGACCCCAGACATAAAGCCAAAGCTGAAATGGAACACCTTATTATGAAATATGTTCATGAGTTGAAATGGCCCAGTCAAAGTCCAACCCTTAACCCAATCAAAAATCAGTGGAAAGATCTGACCGTATATGGAGTTGCGAGATGATATATGGGGGTCGCCAAATCATTTTGGAAGAATATAAATACGCAAAATTAATGTAGCTTTCAACCAGA